CTCAGGAGTGAACAATGGCAGTGTCCTGCTGGGAAGACAGTTCCTCCGCACAGCCTCCTCGGCTCTCTTGTGCTGATGCAGTTCTCCATTTCCCTACAACGTTTTGATCGTGCTGTGTCCTTTGAGAAAATCCACCAAGACGACTCAAATGGTCACCATAGCTGTAGGGGCTGACCTCTCTGCCTTCAATGTGACTGGCCTGCAGAGCCCCTGGGAAACCACTGTTTTGATTGGGCCTTTTGGGGCAGGCACTTTAAGGTGTACTCATCTTGCAGCAGAAACCTATCTGCAGCCACCCACTGAGCACACAGACATGTTTAAACCTGCTTTGTTTGGAGTGGCCTGGTGCAGGTATGACCTGGAAACCCTACAAGCGGTATTTTTTGGATTACCTGGTAACTCAGTACCTGTAACTGTGTGTGTGTGTGTGTGAGAGAGAGGGAGAGAGAGAGAGAAGAGAGCGAGCAGCAAGCAAGGGGGAATAAGGCTGTACTTAGTCCACCAGGTCCGGCCTCTGCTGGGGGTGTTATCTGCAGTGGAGTTATGTTCTGTGTGGCTGGGGAGCTGTAAACTTTGTCCCCGGGAAGGGTCATGTGACAAGTGTCGCAGAGTGCAGTCTGGTAAAGCTCCCCAGAAGTCATTGCGTGAACTTTCCTCCTCTAGGGTCACCTTGAGAGCCCCTGAGATGGGGTCTTGGGCACTAGGCTGTGAGGATAAACCTGCTCTCGGCCGGCTTGTGAGCCCCTTGGCAGCTGAAATGCCAGGTGGTGTAAATGCCCTATCCTGCCTCACTCTGGGAGTTGGGAGGTTCGAAGGGCCACGCAGAGTTGGTCCCAGCCAGGCCACGGCCCACACAGCACTGACCTGGGCATCTTGGGAGCACCCTGGCCCACACAGAATGCAGTCTTTTAGGAGCCAAGTTTGAAATTGGATTTCCTATTTACTAGTTGGGAGGGGTTTTTTAAGCTTCCACTTCCTATCTGGCAAACGTGGAGAAAAGTACCTTCCTAACAGCATGTTATTAAGAGTCAATGAGATATGAAGTGTACAGCCTAGGTCACAAAATAAATAACCACACCAACCGCACTGCCACCGAGTCCATTCTGAACCGTGTGCCCTGAGAGGGCAGAGCACAACGGGCCCCTATGGTTTCTGAGGCGTAAGTCTTGGCAAGAGCAGAGAGCCTCATCTTTCTCCTAAGGAGCAGCAGGTGGACTCGAGCCAGCAACTGAGCAGTTAGCAGCAGTTAGCTGCCCAACTCACAATCTGTTGCTCCACCAGGGCTCCTGAAGACATAAGTTAGAGATTTTTTAAAAAGAAGCAAAAACCAAAACCCCCAAACCATAAAAACAAGAATGTAACCCTTCTTACTCTCCAGCAGTCTTGTGATGGCCAGAATGGCTGAAAGGGAAGGGCTGAGTCCCCAAACCAAACTCACTGTCTTGGAGTCCACTCCGACTCACAGTGGCCCTGGAGGGCAGACTAGAACTGCCCTGTGAGTCCTGAGACTGCGACCCCAGTGTGGTGGTTGCTTGTTGCCAGGGACCCGCGATGGCGACTCTTAAGTTCAACAGAACGAAACACTGCCATCCTCACAGTTGTTCTTTCTCCAGGGGTGACCAGGGGTTCTCAACGACTGACCGTGACCGTGCGGGTGGCAGCTCAATGCATACTCCACTACGCCTCAGGGCTGCTTTGGAAGGGGCGGGTACTTGCTGCCCTGGAATCAATGCGGGCTCGTAGCAACCCGACGGGATGGGGTTCACAGACTGTAACTACGGGAGTAGACAGCATTGTCTTTCTCCAGAGGAGTGGCTGGTGGTTTCTGAGCTGCTGACCTTGCGGTTAGCAGCCCACTACGCCACCAGGGCTCCCTGGAGGGGCGGAAGGACTGGGTAGGAAGAGATAAAGTCGTGTCTGGAGCGTGGGACCTGGGTTGTCTGTCACACGAGATGGAATACTACCAGCCAAGCTGTCAACCCCTACAACCTTTTGTGGTAAAATGGAGCCCGGTCCTCATTGCGGACAGCTGTACTTAGTGAGACAATTCTACTATCCAATTGAGCGCCCATCAAGAGCAGCCCGAGTTACTTTGGATTTCCTGGTGGGGGTGGGGGTGTTGGAGACAGGTGAGAAAAAGACCCAAGCATCAGCCTTGGAGAGTTAAGCAGGGCAGGAAAAAAAAATCCCCCGGTTTTTCTCAGCCAACCCTCTGTGTGGAGCTCTGTGGGGCTGGCCAGGCGGAGTGGGAGGTTGGTGGTCAGCGCTAAGTTGGCAGGGAAGAGCCCTGTCTGCACTTTGTCTGGCGGGTGACCAATCTGCGGTTCCCGGAGTTTCATGCCCAGTCCAAGTGACCCGGTGTGCAGCACTTTTCATGCACCTGCTCTTTCGTTTTTCTCTCACGAGGTCTGTTTCTACTTCAGCCGTCGTTCAACCCCCTGCTCATCTCGTGCCGACCCTCTGCTCCGGGGCTGCAGAGGCTGCGGGCTCTGCCTGGCTCTCCCGGTGGCCTGCTTTGCTGTGGAGTCTTACGGAACCAGAAACAAAGACACTGGCCGAGCCTCTCTTCTGGATCTGGCCTCATGCGTTTCATTTGGAACCCCTATTGTTACTCGGGGAGAAAGACAAGGTGGTGTTTTGTTTTTTTGCTCCTGTAAAGAGTTATACTCTCGGAAACCCACAGGGGCAGCTCTAAGCTGTCCTGTAAGGTTGCAGTGAGTCGGCCCTGCCGAGATGGCAGTCGGCTGGGCTTGGTTTAGGATCGCTCTCCAGGTAGGAGCCCTGGGGGTTACCAGTAGGTTGCCAGCCGGCCTGCTAACTGCGAGGTCAGCCCTTCGAAACCATCAGCGGCTGTGTGCAGGAAAGAGGAAGTTGTCTGCTCCCTTAAAGTTCACGGCATCTGAAACGCACAGGGGCCGCAGCTCTGCCCTGATTGCTAAGCGTTGGAATCGACTCGCTGGCAGGGAGTGTGAAACTGCTATTCTGCCTCTCCGTTTCGGGGGCTCACTTAATCACGTTCACGTGAAACACAAAAAGGCGGCATCTCCACCGTGGGCAGCTGCCTCCCAGGTAATGACATTACGTGACAGCCACTGAGACGCCCGGAGAGGCCCGGACTGCCACTCCAGCTGAGGCCTGCAGGAGGGGGCTGGGGAGAAGGCGGCCCCAGCAGGGCCAGGCGGAATGGCTTTGGAGATTGTCTCAGTAACCAGCGGGACCTTGGCCCCCAAACTTGGTCACCCACAACCTCAGGTGCTTCTGCCCAGAGTCTTGCGACACACAGTGAAGTGCGTGGGGCCCAGGGAAGGCGTGCGAGCTCAGAGGCACACTCCTGTGTGTCTTGGTGGTGAAAGTGGGCTTGCTGGGCCTCCAGGGAGCGTCCACCCCCAGTTCCAGGAGGTGGGGAGACTGCGGCCCAGCCCCCAGAGCTTCCCTCCAGGCAGAGAAAGCCCCATCATAGTCACTCCTGGCTTCCCTCTGCCTCTGTGGACACAACTGCAAATATGGGATTGTACTCCGTTGGTCTACTTTCTTTGTACACATGGGAGCCAGTGCACAGGGGCGGAGGCCTGCCTGGGGCCAGCACTACCGCGATGGGTTCCTGGTTCTAGGATGAGGCAGCAGGCCCCCTCTGCTCTGTCTGCTGTGCTATCACTGTGGCCTGTGCCCTTCTCAGCAATCAGGAGAGTACTTGGCACCCGACTGAGTTTTTCACAAACGAAAAGCTGTAATTTGGTCACAAACTGGGAGGTCGATTGAGCCCCTCTGGACTCTAACAGGCCTTGCCCCCGGTCAGCGCTAGAACTTCTCCTGTCAGCCCCCAGGGGCTGCCTAGCTGTGACTGGCCACTGCCTGTCCTGGCCTCAACCCTGAGGGCGCCCACGGTCCGGGCTGCACTGTGTACCGGCCAGTGTGGGGCACCCATTTCCCCACTATGTCGTTTTTCTTGGGTCCTAGAAAAAAGTGAGGCGCCGATGGTAAGTGGCAGGCGAGCTGGGCACAGAGCAGGCCCTCAGCAGAAACACCTGTCAGGCCACAGGGGATTCTGGGACTCAAGGCATAGGGGGCCTTGGTTACAGCCATGATCAACAAGTCATGATCCTGTAGTGAGTTCCCGTTTCTGCTCCAAACATGCCATCCCCCGCTCACCCTGTTCTCCTGGGGGTGGGAGTGGGGATGGGGTGTTAATGAGCCTGTTGTATCTGCAAGATTCCAATGTTCTCATCGTAAAATACTGGTATGATTAGATCCCTTACATAGTTGGGAGGATCGCGTGCTGTAATACTGGTCAAAACACCCAGCTTCGCGTCTGGAAATTGGGCAGATGCTCAGTGACTCTGTGAGCTCACGGACTGTCCCCTAAGAAGGGGTCTAATACATCTCCGTTTGGGTCATGGTCCTACAAACTCACTCACCCTCCCTGCCATCGAGTCGCCTCCGACGCCCAGGGACCCTGTGGGACACGGAGACCTGCCCCAGGGTCCCTGAGGCCGTTCACGCTGGATGGGCTCAGAGGCCTCATCTTCCTCCTACCGCGCCGCTGGTGGTTTTGAACTGCTGACCTTGAATTTAGCAGCCCAACGTGTAACCCACTATTCCACCCGGGCTCCTCTTTGATGCTTTCTCAGGATCTCTCACAGGCTTTTAAACTACTCTTTAAAAAAAAACCCAAAACAACAAAAAGCCCACTCTTAAAGGCCTGAGAAAGCATTAAAAGAAAAGAACAAAACGCCCCTCAGAGGAGAACCATCATGCGATGGCACCAGGGGCGCCTACCCTCGCTCCTTCGAGGCGGCAGCTAACAGATGGGTTTGTCCCGGTCACGGCAGCTGTGGACGGAATCTAACTACGCGCTGTTGAGTAGGAGACTTGGCCTACATCTTGGAGTTAATCGTTCCAGAGCAGAAACAAAATCAACACCCGAAGCCATCACAGAACGCTAACCAAGTGACCCACCACCACGGTCGGGCCCCAGTAGGCAGAATGCTGTTGCGTGCAGATCAGCCTCTTGCTGGGGCGGGGTGGGCGTGCTCCCAGAGCCCCCACCCTTGGGCGCTGGCAGGGCCGTACCTGTAATTGTGGAACCAGTTGATGACGGTGCTGGTCTTCAAGTTGAGCTGGGTGGCGAGTTCCTCGATGGTTTTGGGTGACGGGTATGGCTTTTGCTGATAGGCTCGTTTCAGCGCTTCTTTCTCCTCAGGGGCCAGCACCACCCGGGGTTTCTTCAGCTGGTGCTGGGGCTGGGGGCTGGCGCCCTGGCTATAGTCAATGCCAACGGAGGGGGATTCACAGGGCTGGCTGTCACTGACTGAGCTGTGTCGCCGCTTCATGTAGGCTGCGGAGGGAGGAAGAGGTGCCAGGCTGAGACGCGGGCCCACAGTCAAACAGCCCACACCCAGCCCCTGACATGACCACAAGGCCATTGGCACTCGGGTCCTCCTGTGGATGGGGGCAGCTGGCATTTCTGCCCCGCTCTTGACGAGAGCGTCTCTGTGCCCTCACTGAAGGCCTGCTCTGTTGTAACCTGAAACCCCTGCCTGTCTTGGCAGCGCCAACAGCGGAGTGGGGGCCACAAATGACCACAGGGCAGTGAGGTGTGGGAGATGAGCACAGGGCACCACGGGGCACAGAGGGAGGCAACAACTTGGCCCGGGGAGAGCTGGGGGGAAGCTTCCCAGAGGAGAGGCTGTTTAAACAGAAATCCTAGAGGGCAAGGAAGGATGAGCTGGGAGAAAACCGGGCTTGAGTGGGGCAGGCAAGAGGCTGCTGCAGACAGTGTGTGGGAGGCACTGGGGCAGACAGCTGGCAAGAGCGTGTGCTCGCACACCTGGTAGCGGGTGCTCACAGGGGGCTGGCAGCGTTGAAGCTGGAGAGATGGGTGGAGTCAAGGTAGGTAAAGGATTTGCATCGAGGCAATGGCATGGTCAGGTACGCATTTCAGACAGGCTGCCAAGGTAGGAGTGCTAGAGATGGCAGCTGAGTAACATTAATGCAAGGAGCCCTGGTGACTCAAGGGTTAAAGCACCGTTCAGCGGCAAGGAAGCGGCAGTGTTGTCTCCCTGGAGGCTAACCCAACCCACACGCACTGGGACAGAGGAGAAGTGGTCTCTAGGGCTTCCAAGGCTGTCAGTCTTTCCAGGTGCAGACCACCTCATCTTCCGCCCAGCGAGGGGCGGGTGGGTTTGAACTGCTGACCTTGCTGTGAGCAGCCCAACAATTAGTCCACTGCAGCAGCAGGGCATGTAGCATAAACAGTCTTGAGACCCTGTGGGGACAGTTCGACTCTGTCCTGTAGGGCTGGTATGCACCGGAGTCAACACAACAGCACAACATAACAATGGTAATGGAGCTGGGGAAGGCAGAGGGGTTCTCTGGCGTTAGAACTGGGGTGCACCAGACAGGATTTGGCGGCCAATTAAATGAAGAATGGAGCAGAAGAGGGAAGGATGGCTTGGGCAATGACACGGTGGCAGTGGTGGCTTTAGGTGGGTCAGCCCACAAAGAGCAGGCGAGAGGAAAGACGACTGAGCAGTCTCGGACATGTTGCCCTCGGGGGTCTCTGAGTCCCTCACGTCAAGAGGCCCAGTAGACAGACGGATAAATGGGTCTTTAGCGCAGATGAATGGTCTGGACTAGAGAGAGCAGGTTTGGGAACCGTGAGACTAGAAACTGTTGTTGAAGTGAATGAAGCATTTGAGAAAGAGGGAGACGAGCAAGAATGGGAGCCTGGAAAGCAAGTATCCTGAAGGAGGGCGGGGAGAAAGAGAGAGAGAGAGAGAGCGAGCTTCTAGATGGGAAACCCAGGGTTGAGGACGGGCTCTCAGAGATGAGCGCTGGACTGCAGGTGAGGGAGGACATCCCCTGGAGGCGCATGGAGGTGGGCCCTGGACGCAGGAAGTAGGAGACAGCCAGAAAGGAGACTGGGTAGGCGGAGATGCACACACGCTCATAGAGATCCAAGTGGGGGCGTTGGTGGCCTCTGTTTTCTTTATGAAGAAGAAGGCAGGAGGTAGGGGATTGAAAGGACTCTCGAGACCGTGCAGGCATGCTGTGAAACTGGTGGAAGGTGGCAGGGAGAAGGCACGGGTCAGGGTGCTGGGGAGACACTCAGGAGACTCTACCAAGGCGGAAGACTACAAGTCTGAGGCGCCATCAACCCATCTGGTTAGGGGCGTCTTGAGCGGGGCCCAGAAGCCAAAGACGCTGGTAGAGAGAACTGGCAGGCGCACCGATCCAAGGTTGGGGGAAGAGAAGTGGAAGATGGGGAGGTCTGAGGATATGGACCAGAGGGGACTGCAGGGACGGTGTGGTGCTTCGAGTGCCTGGGGCAGGAAGGGGGCCTGAGGTTACAGGATGACGGGAGGGTGAATGGAAAGAGAAAGACGAGGAAGCGCAGAATGTGGTCAGCGAGTGGAGGATCTGGATTGAGGGTTTTAGAGGCAGAGTCGTCCTGGGTGACAAGGAGACCGGAGGAAGAGCCACAACCCGAGGAGGCTCAGGGGCTGCACAGGGCAGGGGACTCTTCCACAGAGGCAGAAAGAGCCCTTTGGGGTCTGCAGGAAGGCTGGTCATGGGGCCAGCGTCTTGGGAGAAGGTTGGTAGATGACAGGGACAAGTGGGGGACGTAAAGCAAAGCCTACTCAAACAGTCTCCCACGGCCATGTGGGTGCAGCCCAAGAATGGAGGAGAGGTGGCTGGAGCAGATTATGGGGTGGTAGAGGAGAGGGTAGGCTGCTGAAAGGTTGGGGATATGGGGGCGGGGGAGATGCTGTGCTATTAACTGGCCTTTTACTATGGAACGGGGGAGGGCAGGGTTAAGAGGAGGCTGAGATAGGCTCCGACACTCAGTGTGCGGTGACTGCCACTTGGGATGGGTTACCAAAGGGGCCACTGAACAAAGGGGATGTGATTTCTGGATTATGTTCTGGAATGTTCCTCGTGCTCCCTTTGCTCTGCTTTTATGCATCATTAATTGTCAGCTATGCTTCCAAGGTTAAAAACCATTTTGATTTCTTTAGCCGATGACTCATTCGCATCGATCTTACTAGTGAATTGGTTTGAAAGGTTCTCGCACCTGGGCGAAGGTGAGCAGTCACAGGTTCACTCCTATAGGGGCAGGTTGGCCTCGGAGTGGAACGTCGTTAGCAATAGCAATGATTGCTCACGTTAATCAACGACCTCCAGAATCGCTGGGTCAGAGAGACCATGATGGATGACCCCTAGCTTAGAGAGGGCTCAGGGGATTTGCCTCAGGTCACATGGCAGGTGAGAGAACGGGACCGGGCCGATGTCTGGTGGGGCAGCGTCCCGGCCCCGGGTTGTAGCATGTGCACAGGCACCGAGACAGTGTCCCCAAGACCCAGCACTTGCACCCTGATCTCCAGGGGTGAGGGCTGCTGGTCGCCAGGGCCCCCAGGGAGCATCATGGAGCAGAGGCCACAGAGACCGAGGGGCTGTGTGATCAGGTGGGCCAAGGGCCCGCATGAAGGGGGCAGAAAGGCAGAAGGCAGATGAGGGTAGAGAAAGCAGAGGCATAAAAAAAGAGTACCAAGAGGAGACCACGAGCTATGTCACAGCAAGAAGCAATGTACGTCTGGATCTCAAGGTCAAGAGCACCTGCTACTCGCTTTGGGATGCAGGCTGGACCAGGGCTCCCGCTTTGTTGGACACTTTAAAGGAGCTGACGGCTGTGAGGCGTGTTCTCTCGAAGCCTGACCAGGTGAGCGTAAGGGTCCTCATCTTGCAGAACACAGAAAGGGAAGCCACCCCTTTGCCATTTTAGCAGCAGAACGAGCAAGTGGTCAGGAAGGGCTGTTGTCCCCAAAGCGACCGAGCTTGGTGCTGTCAAGGGCTGCATGGTGTGGGGCTGGGGGTCTCGCCAGTCTCCTCCCAAGGTCAACTTGACCCTGAGGAAGGGCTGTGCTGGGGCCACCCACGACCCCACTGGGCAGGGCGGGTGCCTGGGGAAGACTAGGCCGTGGCTGCTGGCAGGGCCCTCGGGACAGGAGGAAGGGCCTGCAGCTTGCCAACCATAGCTCCCCTGTAACACAGGATGGTGCCCAGAGGCCAGGCAGAAGGACCGGGCGGCCCCTGCGGAGCTAAGTCCTTTCCTACAGGCCTGGGGTGAGAGGCACATTGGAGGGAGGAGAGAAAAAGAGAGAGTGGCCTCCCTTGGGGCTGGCCCTGATGCTCAGAGCGGTGGACCCTGAGCCTTGGGGTGCAGGGGAGCAGAGGCCTAATCACTCTCAAGGTGGTGGTGGGCGCTGCCTTCTGACCAGTTGGGGAGCTTTCACACGGCTTGTCTGCATCCTGACAGCGGCTGACACCGAGCGGTAGACACACGGGTATTCTTGCTTATGTCTGGAGTTCCTATCATGAAATGAGGGTCAACTTCACTTCTTTCCCCCTCCCGTGACATGGTCCCAGGCCTCTGGGGCTGCTGCCCGGGAGAGCTGCCCGGGAGAGCGTTGGCCCTGTGTCTTGGGACAGACTGCATCTGAGCATGTCACTGGCTGGCCTGAGGGCCCAGACTGGCAGATGCTGGGAGGCAGGACACTATGAATTCCCACCCCAACTAGCTCCTTGCCTGACCGCTCAGGGGCACCTCCCCTCTGTGGAGCCGTGTGGACTAAGTCTGCACAGGGATTGGCAAACAGGAGCGCCCCATAACTGGAAGTCGCAAGGACCAGGCAGAGCTGCACGGTGGTTGGATGGTCACTTGGGGTTACGAAGCTCTGCGTCGGCTGATTTAGGAAGGGAGTCATAGGTTCTCAGGGCCGGACCCGCAGCTGGGCCCAATACCTACATTGCAGGTGTTCAAAGCCAGCCACCTCGTGAGCACACTGCACCACTGCTGCCTAGGCCAGGGCTGGCATCCACCAGACCGAGCTGGCTTCCCTTCCCACCGAAGTATAGGCCCCTCTCTCATGTGCCCGGTTTGGTAGCCCACAGGGTCCATACCGGGGACTCATCAATCAGCCCTGGGAGCTGATGACCCCCATTTCCCACTCTTGGGGAGGCTCGTTCTCTCATGGTCACCAAGGAAGAGCAGGAAGCGTGGTTCAGACAGTTATAGGCTTTGCCATTTCCCAGGCTGGGCGGCCTTCATGGAAGTGTCCCGACCTTCTGAACCCCCAAGTCTCTATCAATGAAGTGAAATCAGAATCAGGAGCATGGTGCACGCCCACTAGATGTTTGAACCTCCGGCCACCTAACCACAGGCAAAGACGACCCCCACCCAAGGGCTGTGCCCCTCTCCTGGGCGGCCTCGCTCTCTCCAGAGGAAGAAAAGGAGTCACAGACAGAGTGCTGGGCAGGTGTGAGATGTGGTGAACGAGCCCCACAGTCGCGCAAACCCTGGCTTCAGGCTGCAGGGTAGACAGAGCCCCCTGGGGACCCTGGACGAGCAGCATGCTCGGGAGGCTGCTGGCCGGTACCTTTCTTCTCCATGCGCTTCATGTCCATCAGCTTCTCCACGTTGCCGGGGTCGTTCAGCCACAGCTGCATGCGCACGAAGGGCTCGCGTCCCTTCAGGCTGAGCTTGTGCCAGGGCTTGGGACGAGCGAGGAGGTCGGACACGGAGCCTTGGGTGAGCCCCAGGATGGTCTCCCCAAACAGACGCTGACCTGGAGGAAATAACACGAGAGAGGGGTCACCCCAGAGGTCCAGGGGCCTGAGGGCAGGTGCCCCATGAGGCTACCCCGCAGACACAGACTAGTGGACCCCGAGTCTGGGCGGCTGAGCGCTGCCACTGAGCAACTGACTGGAAGAGCCTGACGTCTGTTGGAGAGCCCGGTGGCATCCTGGTAGTTCTGGGTTGTTTTCTTCCCAGAGGCCTACAGGGAAACTCACTTCTCCAAGAGCCATTCAAGGGTGGGCTGAGAATGTCTCTGCTTTTAAAGGTGCAAATGAGAATCAGCCATAACCTGGCCTACCTGAGGGAAGTTTGTGCTCAGGGGTCTTAGGTGGGCTTGGTGAGGGCATCATGCCTCCCTCGTCCCTTGGCGGGGTGGCCGGCTCGTCCCTTCCTCCGTCTATGAAGGGGCTTCCAGGGAAGTGTGGTAGGAAATTCCCGGCCCGGCCCTGCCATGGAAGAGCATGGAGCCTGAAAGGTCATTACTTCTGCAGAGGGGATACTAACTGGGGAGCCAGGCTGACTGATTCTGCTCATCCCTGCTTCTCTGCTTTCTAGACTGTAGCGTGGAATGCACTGTGTCCTCCATGGCTTTCTGGTGTGGCTGAGTAAATTCTACTCGGTTCTCATTGTCAAATGCCTCCTTTCTTTCAGGAACTGGCTATATTCAGGAAAGCAATATGAGGGGGCTTCCAGAAAGTTCAGGGGGGACAAAATCCCTTTATCTTTTAATTCCAAAGAGTTTTCCATGGATGAACAGCTCATTCCTCGCTCGGTGCACCTAGGTGCATCAGACACCTACCAGCAGACCATCTGCGCTGTCACCACAGTGGTTCTTAGCCATCTCTGGGCCACGAATCCCTTTTGGACCCAGAAAAACCCACAGGCCATCCCCTGCTAAAATGTACGTGTACACACCATCCTGTCCTTTCTGGGACTCACCAGGAACACAGGACCCCAGACTGAGCATGGTCACCATCCCACCAAGATGACCTCAGGAGGGAGGCCAGTTAGAGCAGCGGTTCCCAAAGTAGGCGCTGCCGCCCCCTAGGGGGCACTGGAGCAATGACGGGGCTGGAGCAGAACTGCAGCTGTGGGATCCGGAGTCTGTCACTGATGATTGGAGTAGAAAGCCCAATCTTCCTCCCAGGGAGCTGCTGGTGGTTTCCAACTGCTGACCACGCGGGTCACAGCCCAACCAGTGACCACTACCCCACCAGGGCTCCTCTAGGTAACCAAAAGGGGGACTTAGCAAAATTTTCGACCAACAGTTGAATTTTTGCATTTGTGAAGGACTTAATGAAAACCATCCTAAGTGGCTAAGACTCCCCCTTGACCCCTGTTCTGTTCTGGGCAGTGATTTGCAGAAGCAGTGGGGCTGAAGGCCTCCAGTGTACAAGCTGGCCCTGTCCCCAGGCTGTTCAATCACCACAGGGCAGGGCAGGCACTCGGCTCACTGCCATTCCCCTTATTTCCCCCAACCCTGGGACAAGGCAGAAGACAGAGTAGGTCCCTCCAGCCACTCTTTGGAGTTGTGCTAACGTGCACTGCAGAGAAAACATGTGCCCCTTGAACTGACTTTTACACCCAGGAAACAAGGGCACATGCATTCGGGGCGATGCTGGTTTCCGTATTCTGGACCGTGGAGCCAAGAGAACCAAGCCTGGCCACTGCAGGAGCACAACAGATGAACAATGACCAGGAACCCCTAATAGAGGAGCCCTGGTGGCGTACTGGGTTACCAGTTGGGCTGCTAACCACAAGGTCAGCAGTTCGAAACCACCAGCTGCTCCATGGGAGAAAAATGGGGCTTTCTACTCCTGTAAGGATGTGCAGTTTCAGAAAACCATAGGGGAAGTTCTACCCTGCCCTCCAGGGTCGACAAGACTCTGAATCCACTCGATGGCAGTGCGGTCAGACCCACTGATAGCCTTACAGTCACAGTAGTGGACGAGGGCGGTGACACGGAGCTCCTGGGCGGCTGTGGCACCTGCTGGGCAAAGCTATGGGCTCAGTTCTCCAGGGCCATGCAGACAGCAGCAAGAACAAGAGGGGTAACAGTGTGTTGAGGGTACTGGGCACTAGTTGCCAGGCGAGGTGCTCACACCACACTGGCATGAGGCGCGGCAAGTCTGGCTCTCCTGAGGAGGTGCCAGGAGTGGGAGTAGACCTGGTATCACACAGCTATTAACGAGAAGAACTGGGATTTAGACCAAGAACCTGGTCCACCCTCCCACTAAGCCATACTCCAGGCCCTAGTACTGCTGGGCTGATGTGGACCCTGCCCAGCTCTCTGGATGGGCAGCTTGAGCCTGAGCCCACACTGGGTTTCCCAGGGGTCCCAGAGGAGGGCTGGAGGGGGTTGGGTTGGGGAGTGGGGCTCTGATTGGCCTGCAGAAGCACTCTTAATCCGCTCCCCAGCGGGCACAACTTTAGGTAATTCAGAGTTCTTCAAAGTGTCCCCTTGCTTCACTGGCTCAGCCTGAGGGTTCCCTTTGGGGTTCCATCTCCTTAGCACTCTATGCTGAAATGTGTGCCTCGGTGTAGCTTTTGGTCTTGGTTCTTGGGGGGGGAAACAGCTTGAAAGACATTTTCCCATAAGGCTGGGGCTTTGTCTAGTTTTCTACGCTGGAGGGGCCATTACTTGAGTCCAGGTTGCAGGCTGACTGGTATTTCTTGGGCAAGATATGGATGACTGAAGATGGACACTTTTCAGTCTGACCCTGGGCAGCAGCCTGCCCTGTGATTGGTCTGCACCTTTCTGGGATTAGTCAATAGGCCACGCAGATGAGGTGAGGTATAGCCTACCATGCACATGAAGCATCTGTGGGGACTGGTCCGTTTGTGGCCCTGGTTGGAGTGCCATGCCTCAAAATCGACGAGGAGTTTATATATTGAAGCAGCGCGCGGGCCACAGAGGCATGTCAGAGGCAGGAAGCAGCAGAAGGAAGAGCAGCAGAGAGGGGAGAGGAGGCAGCAAGGGCTTGCCAAAGAACCAAGCTTTGCCCTGTGGGGCAGTGGCAGCAGCAGAGCCGCCGGTGACACATGGCAGGGCCTGCACCAAAGACGGACACTCTGCCGACCTGCCTCCTGACCCCCACCCTGAGCGGTGACCTGCTCATCCCGATCCCAAGTCGGACCCTGTTCCTTAAAAAGCCACGTCACTGTAAGTGTGGCCTGCTGAGTTCTGTGGGGCCCAGAGAGAAGCAGAGTGCTGGGGGCAGGGAGCTGGGCAAAGGCAGGAGAGTTCGAGAGGTGGTCTGAGCGCCACCTCAGAGGAGCCAGGTGGGCTTTGCTGCTTCGCTCCCCCTCCTCCCACAGTTGAGTGTCACAGACTCAAACTGGACACACCGTCCCTCCCGCCCACTGCCCTAGCCGCCGCCGCCGCCGAGAGAACCTACCGAGGTTGTTGTCCGTCAGCACCTCCTTGACCCTCTTGGTTATACCGTAGGTGTCCAGCTCTGGAGACATGGCGACGAGTTCTTGAATGCTGAGGGAGGAGTGTCCGGAGAGGGGCAGCGGGGTTGTGGGCTGGGAGTCGGAGGCTGGCGGGTCACTGGGTTCGGGCGGTTTCCCGTCCTTGCTTGCGTCGATGGGGGGACACGGCTGCTGGACCAGCTCTGTCAGGCTCTTCACAGACTCGCCGGAGCTCATGGGCGACTCGGGCGCAGGGCTGCAGCTGGCGGAGGTCTTTGGAGTGCTTTCTGTAAGTGGAGCACACGAGAAACCGCGGCTTAAAACACCGATCCTCCGCCAGGCACGCTCACTCGACTCTTCCAAGAAATACTAATTAAATGCCCCGCACAAGGTCCACACGGTGTGGTGCTGTACGGACCGAAATGACTTGTCTCAGGGTTGCTTTTTGACTGAGAGGAACCTCTAATTTTGCTTGAAAGGATGATGGCAACTAAAACAACAACAACAGAAGAAACACTCCGATTTTCAGCACAAGGCCACTGAAGGCGTGCAAGAAGAGCGTGCTACCAAAAAGCCATCCTTCACATTCATGTGTTCCCCGTCACGGCTTCTAACGAAACCCTAAAGTCTCCAGTGTGCTAGTACCTTGGCAGGATGGTAATCAGTGTCACAATTCTGCCCCTATCTTTCAGAATGACAGTAACAACAACAAAAGACCTCAGGTAAAACCCAAGCCCAACCCCCTGCGTCAAGTCCATCCGGACTCACAACGACCTGACATTGAACTTCTGAGGTTGTAAATCTTCACAGGAGCAGACAGCCTCGTCTTTTGTGAGCACAGTGGCTGGTGGGTTTGAACTGCTAACTGCTAGTTGTGCCTCCCGCTATCTAACATATGGTCAGTACGTCACAAAGAAAACCTTTGGAAAGGAAACGGGAGGCCTCCCTGCTGGCTACCAGAGTGTCCAGTGCGGGGTCTTCGTGGCGTGAGAGCCTGCTCAATACCCCAGATTGGCTTTCAACCTGACCGCCCAGAAAGCTCCACACTGCTCATGCTGAGAGGAAGCCAAGGAGAGCTGAGAGAAGATCATCCTGTTGTTCCCCGCTCCTCCGTGTCAGGCTTCTAGGACAACCGGAACTTGCCAGAACTGCTTGTTTGTGAAAGAAGAACACTTGGTTTCTCTCTGCCATGCTGTGGCACACGAGCCAGGCTGGGGTGGGCAAGTGGGCCTCCACTCTCTGCTTCCTTACGAAGGACCACTGCCTCATTGGCACGATGCTAAGCCCCCAAGGAGAACTGTCACCCCATGCTCTGTGGGTGAGTGGGACCTTCTGGCTTTCCCGTATCATGACCCTTAGGAGCCAACGCAATAGGCTAGATACTTGTTTGGGGATGTCTTCCAAGGAGAGTGAATGCTTGTGCCCAGGAGGACTGGTCAGCTTGTGGGAGGGCCTGGGCACTAAGTGACATGTGCTGCTGCTGACAGATGGCACAGGGGAGGGGTAGGCTTGGCCCCTGCCTGCTTTCCTCTTGGCCCAACAGGTCACTCAGCACCTAGAGGTGGCACCCCAAGTACTTGCTACCTGAGGACTACTCTCACTCCGATTGACCATCTACTCGGCGTGCCCTCTGTTGAATATACCACACCCAGGATTCACAACCCATTTTAAAGTCATGAGGACGGAAGGGTGGACAATGTTCTCCAGGGAGGAGGAAGGGTCTGTCAGAGTACCTACAGAGAGCACGGTCTCAAACAGAACCACTGATTTCCATGGAGAAGCCTGTTTATTGTCGACCAGGTACAGAGGCCCGTGATCACACAGGCGTGTCCTCCAACCTGGGGAATCAGATTCAACAACCCCCCTGCCCCTCCCCCCCCACTGAAACGGGTTTGTGCAAGATGTGAGAGAGACAGGTGCAATAGGCAGAAAGGGACCTTATCCATCTCTCTCTGCGGCCATCAGAGTCCTACCAATCGGATCTCTCCTCTCGGCTTGCTCACCTCGGGGCCTCGCACGACTGGGCAGGAAAGCCGGCACATGCTATTTCTGTCTCTGGGGCAGTGGAGGAATTGTACTGCGAATCTGCCTGGACTCACCCGTGCGAGGCACCGATTTGGCAGGCCATCCATCTTGCTCACGGCAGACTGTCAAGGACGGCACAAATCCCCCACATGATAAACAGATCCCTTCCCAGGGTGCTGTCCTCTCACCCCACGGCAAGGTCAAAAACGTGGCTGCCTGGCGCGTAGCCTGCGTGGGGCCGGCTGTCTGTGGCCTCCCTCGTCTTTGCTGGGTGTCGTGGAAGCAATGCTCACCACACGGGACCCCCCCCCCCATGTACAGATGCTATGCTGCCGTAAAGCACCTCTGAGAGCTCAATGGTGACCTCACCACATGATCCTGGGGTCCCTTGGTGCTCCCAGCTGCTACTACAGTGACGGGAAACCTCCTTTCTGGGCCGGACATGTCTGGGGAAGGTAGGGGAGGGACCTGTCCCAAAAGGCGGGTGGCTGGGGCAGGCTGGCCTGGCTTCTGCCTGGAGACAGTTGGTCTGTGGACAGAGGCCCACGTGGCACTGCCAGGGCCTGGCCACAGAGCACAGAGGGAGAGCCACGTCTTTGGAGTGGCAGGGACAGATGCAACAGCAGGTGGCCTCTTTGGGAACACACACCAATCCGCACAACCTCGCTCTGCCGAGAACAGTCAGCCTCTATGAGGCTATTGACAGAAAGCCGTGTGCCGCCCCAGCGGCAGGACTAGTCTGGCCAAACCCAAGCGGCAGAAAAGCCCCGAGAGCTCCCCCTGGAGAGGGGCCAAGCCAGGTAGCTGCCCCTCCACCTAGACAGAACAAAGGAATGTACTCAACACTGCTCCCTCCGCTTCCTGTTCCAAAAATTAGCAAAGGAAACCCTCTGATTAAAATAATGCTTCCTAAAAGAAGAGGGCTTTGCTCTGCACATGTAATTACAAATACTAATTATTAAAGAGAGAGAGAGAGAGAAAAAGGAAGCGCTCTAGGCTTGGCGTTCAGGTGCTGAGCCTGGTGTGATCTGGACCTTCCTGGGAGCCCCTGGATTCCGTGTGACCCCTGTGGGCAGGAACCCCTGCTCTGGGGGCTGCAGGCAGGAGCCCTGGTGCTCAGCAGGGCTCCTCTGGATTTGATGGCCAGACCAGGGCGGCTCTACTGCACTGCAGCCCTCGGTCAGGGGGAAGTGCTCCTGCGGCCCTTGCAATTTTTCCATGGTCTCTCTCCCAGCGCCTGGCCCACCCACAGAGGGGATGTGCTGGGGACAGGAGACAGGCCTGTGTGAGGATGAATGTGTTTCATTCGAGCGTCCAGATGAAGAAAAATTAGGAAGAAAGGTCAGGTGATCCATGTCTGAAAACGAGCCCATGAAAACCAGACAGATCCAGACTGATTGTGGGGAAGATGCAGGCACGGGCAGGGTTGCATTCTGTGGTGCATAGCATCGTCCCGAGTCAGGAGCTACAACGTGACAACAGGGCTGAGTAGTGTCTCGCTCTCATCACTCACACACTCACTCATTCATGTGTTTACTCACTCACTCATCCCTTTACTCACATCCCCCACCCCCTTCACTCACCAATTCACTCACTCACACATCCCTTGACTCACTCACTCATTCATTCATGCATTCACTCACTCACTCATTCATTCATGCATTCACTCACTCACGCCTTCACTCCCTCCCTCCCTCTCCAGCCCACCCACCCACGCATGCATTCACCCACACACTCATGCACCCACCCATTTACCTACTCACTCTTACGTATTACTCTGGGTCATGCACACTGCCAGGCATTGTGGGTAAGAGAGAAACCAAGGCAAAAGCGTGTCCTTCCAGGAGCCCCAGGCCCAGGGGATCAGGGTGATTGAAAGTGGGCGTTTGCACATTTAGAAAGTCCAGCGACAGTTTCGCTCTCCACATCTGACTGCAGTCCTGAGGTGTTATGTTTTCCAGGCGAGCCGTAGATAGTAATTTGGGGGGCAAGTCTGACTCTTGCGCGGAATCGCTGGGTTAGTAAGATGCAGAAAATGGAGACAGCGGCCCCTCTGAGATACGAGGCAATCAGGAACTATAAAAGGATTATGGAAAATACGATATTCCAAAAACAGCAGGCAGACAACAGCTGCCTTAAGTTCTCAACAGAAGCCGGTGCAAAGCACCGCCGCAACCTCCTTTTCAGAGACAAGCCTCTCTGCAGCTTACCCAAGCCACTGTTTCCGTCTCCATCCCAGCCCGCTGTCGGCGTTCCATTTGGCGCTCATTTGAGCAGTCAGGGTAAAGTCACTTCTTATTATCTCCCCACTGTGTAAAAACAGCTTGAAGGCAGGAAGTCAGCAAGCATTTTCACCAAAAAGTAATTATTGGAAGTGACATTTTTACTGCGGGCGCGCCATAAGGCGAGCCTGCCTTCAGAAGGACAAGTTGCTGAAACAAAATGACAGGCACTCGGTGACACTCTGACAAGAGCCCAAACACGGTTTCTGTGGCGGCCAGTGCGCCACTGCGTTCTGTCCGTCCGTCCGTCCGTCCTTTGGGTGTTGAGACCGGGCTAAGTCACGAGTTCCAGGTGACCACCAGGGCAGGCGGACCTGGGAGATGGGAGGGCACAGTGGGCTGCGGAGTCGAGCACGGGTGGCCTGGCAGGCGTGGACGTGAGGAAGGGGACACAGCAGAGAGGAGGGACCGCAGTGGGCAGTAGGAGGCAGGGCATGGAGCCTCAGACACAAACGTCTGGGTGCTGCCGTCCTCAGCCAGGGCCTTTCCAGTGGACAGCCTCAGATGCCATGACCAGGAGAGCCCAGTCTGGACTCGTCCCAGCCATGGTCAGTGCTGGTGCGGTCACTGGGGAGATGGGTCTCGTGAGTGCACGCTCCTACTGCTCCTCTCTGAGGGCAGCACGCACCTGACGGAGGTGACTAGCGATGCCCCTCTGGCCGCCTGTGTTCTGCTGTGAACTGGCGGGGCCAAGAGCACAGCGAGGGGACCCTGGGGGCACAGTGGTTAGGCGCTGAGCTACGAACCTAGAGGTTGGAAGTTTGAAAGTAGCAGCGCTCCTTGGGAGAAAGATGAGGCTTTCTACTCCCGTAAAGAGTGCGGTCTCGGAAACTCACAGGGGCGGGTCTAGTCTGTCCTGAAGGGTGTCGTGAGCTGGAATAAGCCTGATGGCAGTGAGCATGGCAGTCCTGTGCAGCGAGCTCTGATGGTACTTCTGAGCACTAACTTACCTTTCCTGCTCATGGTGGCAGTGGTGTCCT